GAAACAACTCACCGAACAGGTCCAAGACATCTCAGACTCGTTACACCTCGTGCAAGACGGCCTGGCGTTCCTCACGGCACGAGTGGACAAGTTAGAGCTGGAAGCCAAACTGCGGGCGGCAACACCCAATCCAACACCATCCGCAGCACCAACACCGGATCAGCCCCGCAAGAACCGTGCCTTCGTCAACAATCCTGGCGAGTTGCGAAGGAAGGGTGCCGATCAATCATCTCCCGCATATTCTGACAGTACATATTGAACGGACGGAAGGGTTACCATCCAAGGAGCCCGCCGCTGGCAGATGGCCGTTCTTGGACATCAAGCTGGACTCCCAAGGTGCCTCGGCGGGTATTTCAAAGTGCGTATTTTCGTACCGACAAGACCGATCATTCCTGGTTGTTTTCGGTCGTGCTTGATGAAAGCAGGTAATCTACAGCCGGGTCGGGACATAAAAAGCAGCAACAACAACAAAGCAGCATAACAACAACACGCAAGCTCGGCCACCTCCCTGGAGTCGGCGGCGTAATTGGCGGCTTGGCCGGCCGACACGGGGGATTATATCTATGGTAGTCATGAGGGTCTGGCTCCGACGAGGGTAAATTGGATGGAAGTAGATGTTTGTCTGTGATACATGCAGTAGGCCTCTCTGGTATAACAAGTGCCATTGCCTTTGCCTGGTTCCTAGTCTGGAGGGGAGTTTTACAACCTCTATAGACACATATTAACATGATCTTGCTATAGTCAAGTAGCTCCACTTGACCTAAAAGGGGAATCGCCCACCTTCCCAGACAGGCAATGAAGAGATTCTACAGAACTGAGAGTATGAGTTAACAGGGAGCCGACCTTAAGGGAGACTGACGGACAGAAATCCGGGAGAGCCACTCATCCAAGGAAGGCGTGGACCGAAGTGTCCGGTGCACAGGTGGTGTGCCTATGTGGTGTTGATGACTAACTAGAAGGACTACTAATCGGGTGGCTACAAATCAGGTTCACTTTTTCTGAACCAGAGTTGCAGCCGCCGACACCAATTTTCCTTTCCTGCCTCGCCGCCCGGGTAAATTGATGGAAGTAGGTCTGTCTGTGATACATGCAGCAGGCCTCTCTGGTATAACCAGGGCCATTGCCTTTGCCTGGATCCTAGTCTGGAGGGGAGGTTTACAACCTCTATAGACCCATATTGACATGATCTTGCTATAGTCTAGTAGCTCCACTTGACCTAAAAGTGGAATCGGTCAGTGAACCTTAACTCAATAGAATCTGATTGACAGACAGATCGATGTCTGGTTGGAAATGCTTTGGAAGTGCACTCATTGAGGATGAGGAGAACAAAAAGCGAAGCCAGGTCAGCGCTGCGAATGAGATGAGACGTGACCAAACGACCAAACCAAGAGTCAGTTAGTCTCCAAGAAGCGAGAGGAACTGGAACAAGATCGAACGACCCCAGCAACCGGTCTTACAAAGTAAGTTTGCATACTGTTGTACCTTCTGCGGTGTTTGATGGGGGACGCTCTCACAAAACCACTCACAAAAACCAACCATCAATATCATTCGCTCTCTCATTCTTCAAATAATAAATCTCCCAAATCAAATCGAAGTAAGTTGACTAAGAGAAAGACAGTCCACAAGCAATGATGTCTATTAGCAAGCACAGTCCTACCCCCACAGAAGGCCACCCTATTATTAGTTTGAAATCACGAAGGAACACAATCCGACAGAGTCGTTTGGCGCAGATGGAAGCCTTTCAACATTTCATGGAAAGCGAGGATATGCAACCGCAACAGCAACAGCAACAGCCACAGAGCAGACCGAGTACAAGAAACAGTCGCACCGGAGCACCACGCAAAGCTCAGCTGGATGCCTTTGAAGCACTCATGGACGGACAAGATATCTTCGATATCATTCTTCAAGACGAATCAGATCGAGTGTTCAAACGACGTTCCGCTGTTACTAGTACCAAGGCATGACCCCATTATTGAAAGACCACAACAGTCACTAAATAAATAAATCAAGCTGTATGTATTATCTATCTACATCTACCGTACTGGCTAGCTAGCACACTACCCTCAGCAACATGAATGAATACATGAATACCTTTAAAAAATAACACACTGACGTCCTAAGGGAAAAAATCAGTTATGCTGGCTTGCAAATCGGAACTTGAGTACCCAATGGATTGGCTGGCGCTGTACTGTGAAAAATCAGTAGAAAAAGGACCATTATCGTCATAATGGTCTTTGGGCTGGTAAAAATGAAACCGCCGTTTCGCTGAATTGCATTGAAAACGAGCGTTGCCTCTCTTTTTCTCTCGCAACTCTCAAACACAACTCACTTTCTTCTTCCAACATGCATGGACGATGACAGCATTTTTCAGTACGTTTGGTCCGCTGGAAAGGTGTTGTCTTGCGGTGGTTCCAGTGAAGATGGAGCGTACTCGTCCAAGGTAACGGTCGGTTCTTCTGTCATTGTGGCGTTGCAGTTTCACGGTCATCGACCGATCGTTGCCGCCTCATCCTCTTTATTTCCCAACGTAGGTAGGTCTTGACAATGGCGCCGCGGCCGTTCGTGACTCCGTGGTTCCTTGTGGTTGCATGGTCGCCTTGGAGGTTCGTCCTCGATCGTCTTGCAAGAGCTTTGGACCGTTCGGTTCGGTTCATCAACCATCGACCGACCGACCGACCGACCAAACCAACCACAGGCGTGGAACAAGACGAAGTGATCACTGAGCATTTGCTTGTTTGTTTTCACGGTCGTCGACCGATCGTTGCCGCCTCATGCATGTCCAACAACAAGTCTTCTGTGGAGCATGCTTCTTCTGCCAAGGCGCCGCCTAGAAAGTCAAATCGACGACAATGATGATGCCTTTTTGGTGCTCCGAGTCCTTTGTTGGAGTGGTCATGTGTTCAGTGAAGATGGGAAACCTGCAACCATATGAAAGCTGGGCGATCTTCAAGGAGAGCCCAGCGGACGTTTGGCCAGGCAGCAGTGTCGGTTTGGTCGTTTGGTTGAAGACGAAGACGAAGACACCACATCCAGCATGCAATAGCACCAGTCGGTCAGCTGATCGAGTCAAACAGCAACCTGCAACCATATGAAAGCTGGGCGATCTTCAAGGAGAGCCCAGCGGAAATTTGGCCAGGCAGCAGTGTCGGTTTGGTCGTTTGGTTGAAGACGAAGACGAAGACGAAGACCCACTCCAGCATGCAATAGCACCAGTCGGGCAGCTGATCGAGTCAAACAGGTACGGTACACCTGCGTTTTTCACATGCAAAAGCGTGTCACCTTTGTTCTTTACTCTTGTGAGTCAGCATTCGTGTTGGAAGCTTCCAGGTTCACTCGAAAGGGTGTTCATGATTGTCTTCGCTGACAAAAGTGCATGCATGCATGCAGCCTTTTGCACTTTTGCTCTTGATTCAAGTCTAACCTTCTGTCCTCCATTCTGCGTTTCTCTTAGACAAACAAGACCCCGTCGATCCGTCCTTTCTGAAACAGAGCAAAATTGGAACCCAAAAACTCCACGGCGTTGCGAGTACGTGTTGCGGGTCTCTTCCTTTTTACAATCCATCGACGACAATGATGATGTGTTCAGTGAAGATGGGAGACCTGCAACCTGCAACCATATAAAAGCTGGGCGATCTTCAAGAAGAGCCCAGCGGACGTTTGGCCAGGCAGCTGTGTCGGTTTGGTCGTTTTGTTGAAGACGAAGACGAAGACCCACTCCAGCATGCAATAGCACCATTCGGCGAGCTGATCGATTCAAACAGCAACCTGCAACCTTATGAAAGCTGGGCGATCTTCATGGAGAGCCCAGCGGACGTTTGGCCAGGCAGCAGTGTTGTTTTGGTCGTTTGGTTGAATACGAAGACGAAGACCCACCCCAGCATGCAATAGCACCAGTCGGTCAGCCAATCGAGTCAAACAGCAACATGAAACCATATGAAAGCTGGGCGATCTTCAAGGAGGGCCCAGCGGAAATTTGGCCAGGCAGCAGTGTCGGTTTGGCCGTTTGGTTGAAGACGAAGACGAAGACCCACCCCAGCATCCAATAGCAACCAGTCGGGCAGATGATCGAGTCAAACAGGTACGGTACACCAGCGTTTTTCGCATGCAAAAGCGTGTTACCTTTGTTCTTTACTCTTTTGAGTCAGCATTCTTGTTGGAAGCTTCCAGGGGAACTCGAGAGTGTGTTCCTTATTGTCTTCGCTGAACAAAAATGGCATGCATGCATGCAGCCCTTTGCACCTTTGCTCTTGATTCAAGTCTAACCTTCTGTCCTCCATTCTGCGTTTCTCTTAGACAAACAAGACCCCGTCGATCCGTCCTTTCTGAAACAGAAATTGGAACCCAAAAAACTCCACGGCGTTGCGAGTACGTGTTGCGGGTCTCTTCCTTTTTTACAATCCATCGACGACAATGATGATGTGTTCAGTGAAGATGGGAAACCTGCAACCATATGAAAGCTGGGCGATCTTCAAGGAGAGCCCAGCGGACGTTTGGCCAGGCAGCAGTGTCGGTTTCGTCGTTTGGTTGAAACCATATGAAAGCTGGGCGATCTTCAAGGAGAGCCCAGCGGACGTTTGGCCAGGCAGCAGTGTCGGTTCGTCGTTGGTTGAAGACGCATAATAAGTCGTAACCTGGGCGATCTTCAAGGAGAGCCCAGCGGACGTTTGGCCAGGCAGCTGTGTCGGTTTGGTCGTTTGGTTGAAGACGAAGACGAAGACCCACCAGCAAAATGCAATAGCACCAGTCGGGCAGCTGATCGAGTCAAACAGGTACGGTACACAAGTGTTTTTCGCATGCAAAAGCATGTCACCTTTGTTCTTTACTCTTGTGAGTCAGCATTCGTGTTGGAAGCTTCCAGGGGCACTCGAGAGTGTGTTCCTGATTGTCTTCGCTGAACAAAAGTGGCATGCATGCATGCAGCCTTTTGCACTTTTGCTCTTGATTCAAGTCTAACCTTCTGTCCTCTATTCTACTTTTCTAGACAAACAAACTACCAGGGGCCGAATCGATCCGGTCCTTTCTGAAACAGAAATGGAACCCAAAAACTCCACGGCCTTGCGAGTACATGTTGGGGGTCTCTTACTTTTTTACAATCCATCCCCCTGTGCTGCTACCTGTCTCTGGTCTCTTCGGTGGGACTTCTTGGGTTGCTTGGGATTGGCTGGGAGCAGGGATGTGGTATGTGATTGTTGCAGGCTGCTCCTGAGTGCTCTTTAAAGGCACTGACATGGAAGAAGTAATTCTCGCTCGGATTGGATTTGTACTGGAGAAGCATTCGGAGCAGCCAAAGTTTTCACTGCTACCTTCTCTTGTACTCTTGGTGTTCCTCCCGTGGTTCCTTCCGGATGTCTTTTGCAGCCAGCGTTAGTCTAGCTAGCCCTCGCTTGCCATCTGTGTGTCCGGCATGACACCTTCAGAGTTTGTCCACCCCTTTCTTTCAGATGTCTACGAACAAGGGGAGATGCTGGCACAGTGCTTCCTTCTTGTTGGTTCTCTGGGTTGTTGCCAGTCGTTTGGCTCTTTGCTGTTGGTTGGTTGATCGGTTTGGCTCTTTCCTTTTCAAGCACCTGTGACCCTGGATTATGGCAATGGCTGTTACAGTTGAGTCAAGTCAAGTCCCCTCCTCTTAGCTAGTAGCTTAATCTCACACGTCTTGTCTCTTTGCCCCTCCGAAGCCCAACAAGTTCTTGGTGGGCGGTTGCGGCACCAAAGTCCATCCCCCTGTGCTGCTACCTGTCTCTTGGTCTCTTGGTGGTGACTTCTTGGGTTGCTTGGGATTGGCTGGGAGCAGGGATTTGGTAGTGATTGTTGCAGGCTGCTCCGAGTGCTTCTTTAAAGGCACTGACATGAAGAAGTAATTCTCGCTCGGATTGGATTTGTACTGGAGAAGCATTCGGAGCAGCCAAAGTTTCACTGCTACCTGTCTCTTGGTCTCTTGGTGGTTCCTTCCCGTGGTTCCTTCCTGTGATGTCTTTTGCAGCCAGCGTTTGACCCTTGGATTTGGCTGGCTGGTTGTGGCGTTGAGTCAAGTCAAGTCCCCTCCTCTTAGCTAGTAGCTTAATCTCACACATCTTGTCTCTTTGCCCCGCCAAGCCCAACAAGTTCTCGGTGGTTGGTTGCGGCACCAAAGTCCATCCCCCTGTGCTGCTACCTGTTTCTTGGTCTCTTGGTGGTGACTTCTTGGGATTGGCTGGGAGCAGGGATGTGGTAGTGATTGTGATTGTTGCAGGCTGCTCCGAGTGCTTCTTTAAAGGCACTGACATGAAGAAGTAATGCTCGCTCGGATTGGATTTGTACTGGAGAAGCATTCGGAGCAGCCAAAGTTTCACTGCTACCTGTCTCTTGGTCTCTTGGTGCAAGATTCGTACTGGAGAAGCATTCGGAGCAGCCACAAGTTTCATCGTTTCAACTTTCAAGCCACTGTACTAACACTGATTTCCGGTGCTCCTTCGGGAGCTGCCCCTTTGGGGGCCTGTGGTTCCTTTGGAGCCCAGTGGTATTAAGGTCGTTAGATTTGCTGCCCGCTTCTTCCTCATTTTCTGGTGCCATCTTCCTGTCACGTTCACCAATAAGTCATCCAACATTGCTAGAGTTTCCAGAGATGTTCTCACTTTGCTACATCTGCTTGATCGCATGCCCAGCACTCAGAGCCACCGACGCATCCGTGCCAGAGGATTCAAGGATCATGGTTGTCATGAAGATTATGTAGCATACCCGAGTGAGTAAATGGATGGCGATACCGTAGCCGGCAAGCAACGAAACGACAGATGCCGACGTGAGAAAATGTGAAGAGACGCCCAACCGTTGGCTAGTAGGGAAAAAGTGTCTGGTACAAAATCCTACGTAGCACGTAGAACCTACAGGCGGCTATGTTAGTAGAGGTCCATCGGCACAAGCCGCTTTCCTTTACAATACATCATACATGTATCTCAAGCATGAGTGTTCCTCCACCTGATGGGCCAAAGCATCAATCGTACGTAGGGAGGGATCGGAGTGGGTAGATGTGATCAGTTTGAGTCTCAAGCAGCAGTATTGGTCATTCCAATGCGCCGAGGTAACACGGGTACTGGTGTTGGAGGTTGATTCTTGATACTACTACTGGTCGAAGAGGAATTGCTGGTGCTCCAAAACTGAAGGCGGCTGCGGGGATTAGTATTTGTGGGAAGAAATGCCTTGGAGGGTTGTTGGTGCTTCATACCGGCAGTCGAGACAACCCAGCACTGATCGACTTGAATCATCGTCATCTTGAAGTTCCGAAGCCCAGCAGCTTGGCGACGGGGAGCCCGTGATTGTGTCCGTTGTGCAAAGGATTGCACGGCATGAGCAAGCCTACGACGGCCACTTCTCTGATGGGACGATGTGTCCAAAGAGGAATCCACGTCCTTGTGTCCATCATCACGTTGGGGACTTGTTGGCGCTTGTGGCACGAATGTGGCCATGATGCTCCTGGTTGGTTTGTTGTGCACCCTTGCCAGGGAGCCTACCCTGACTTCCATGAAACCATCCATTGCGGCACCGCCCTGCCTTCTTGTAGTAGCGTGACGAGTGGCGCGGTGGAGTGTCCTGGGTGAGCCTGAACCAACCACGGCAGGTGCCGAACTGTGCTGAGGGATACCGGTATGTCTGTGAGAAGGTGCAATGTTTCCTTCTGCTTTGTTTTGTCTACCGTTATGCGGGCTTACACTTCTGCTCTTTCTTCGTCGCACAGGATCTCTGTGGCGACGCCGGGTGTGGTTGTGGCGTGAACCACCTTCGTCGTCAAGGTGATGATTCGGCTCTGAAACACTTGCCATCGTTGGTGGAGATGACGAACTCCATCTTGCCGTTGCAGCGTTCTGCATACGACGCAAAACAAGATTGTCAATTGCAGTCATGGAATGCGATCGTTCGCTACTGCTTGTGCTCAAGTCATTGCTGCTCATATCGTTTTCAAAGAAGAGGGCCACGTTCTCGGACAAGGTATTTGTCGCTACGTCGTTGACGATATGGAGATTATTCATTGTGATTGCTGCTTGGTTGCTTGGAATGGTTTCCGGGTGGATTGTGAGACTACATGTATGAGATGAACATGCCCGATGAGTTTGCTTCGTCCACGCACTGAAGCGTTCATCTAGCTAGCGGCTAGCTAGCTTGCAGCGAAGTCGTCTACATGTAGCCAGTAAAGAACATGTCTACAGGTTGCAATGCCACCAAATAAATTTCTTTCGGCTTGCGCCATCTTCAACTCCCGCTGGCTGCTCCAAGGGCTGCTTGACTGTAAACAGTGGCGCAATGGGTGACAGTCCAGGCAACATAAGCTGCCCAAGCCAGCACAAACAGATCATCACAGTTCGGCCAGCACAAACAGATCAATCACAGTTCGGCCAGCTCACTGAGTTCAATTTTCATTCACAGACAACATAAACAGCTCCCAGCACAAGGCCCAAGCAAACAATTGAAACCAATCCTGGCAACTCGAAAGGCAGCTTGAAAAGCGCCTCCAAGCCAATTGGTTTGCCTTTTCCATACCTTGGGGAGTTTGCCTTTCAACCACTTTCAATGACTACAGTAAGAGGTGACACAGGCTGCTCGGTTTCTTGGGCAAAAGTAGCAAAGCAAAGCAATCAACTGGAAAGAAGCACACATCCAACTTTGTAGTGCTGACCAAAGATACGGTATGATCCAGTAATTGAGCCTAGGGATGCTGGCTGAGAATCATAGGTCTTCAGATCACCCTTCCCAGAGCTCTAATAGCTAAGAACCTCTTCCTCCCCCCTCCTCTTCTTCTAACTATCCTGCCCCCGGGGCAGGTCTTCTTCTTACTATACTGAATAAAATTTTCACCCAAAGGGCATTGCAAAAGGGAATGCGAGATGAATGATCAATCGAATACTGGCTAGAGCTATTGGTATGCTTATTACAAGTCAAGGATTTCTTTCAAGGTGCGCGGCTCGGTCGCAGCTTTGAGAAAGAAGGTACGTACCTGGTACCTGGTACCAGGATCTAGCTAGCTATTAATAGAGCTGATCTGGGCGGCTGGAGCCCGACATTCGGACATTGTCGATGTGTACGACACAAGTGTTCCCTGCAGCCTTCCTTGGAATGGTCACACTGTATTAAGGCTAAACAGTGTAGGCTCTTTTGGTATGAGAAAGTGGCATTCTCGTTCCGCTTTCTGGATGTCATACATGTAGAACCACCATGAACGAGAAGGAGAGATGAGGAGTCGTTTCAAATCGTTTTGGTAGTTACGCAAAACTACTGATTGTTCCAAAACAACAGCCCCCGAATGATCTTGGACACTTTGTATGCAACATTCCAGAACCGACCCGTGTGAAGCGCCGCGTATTGAATTATTCATGGTAGCGCCAAGTGAAGAGAGTTATGAGCAACAGGAAGTTATGATTTAAAACGAAGTGATCTAGTAAATCAACAGTGGGCAGTAAAAAATAATAATGACTCAGTATGAATAATAGCTGGCAGCTCACTGCTAACTGCGATCGTGTGTAATACTCGTACATGCACCGGTACCATGGTATGATGTACTACGAGTAGCCAGCTGCTAGCTAGATTATAACTGTGTGCGAACTTAATACACTAAAGTAGCTTGCAAATAATAGTGCGAACCGTTGCGGATGGGGACGCTAGCTAGATCGTAGAGTATGTACCAGTACTCAGTAGCTTGTATCCTTTATGTATGAGCTACAGTATCTTTGTTTGTACCGGTAGACTGGTACCTACCAGCACACCGGAACATCTATCTATTGAGCTCCCTATGTCAGAGAACTATTAATGTCCGGTCCCCAGTACCTCTTGAGAGACTTGAGAGTCAATAAGACTCAAAAAAGGAGTGGTTTTTAAGATATAAAGGACTCCTGGCGTCTGAAAGAGCCTCTCCCACTGCAAGGGTGAGGGGTGAGGGGTGACGGTCCAGCCATCTAGCTAGCTAGCTAGTAGCTAGTTATGTTAGCATCTGTCTAACTAACTAGTTCCAGTGAGGTTTCATCAGTACTCCTATGCTATACTATTTCTGGATGAGCACGCAATTGCGTGTGAAGGGGTTCTTTTTATGCCCACACTGTAGGTTCCAAGAACACTGTGGAGCTGTGGAGGATATTTTTTTCTGACACTGGTACCAGTCGCCTTTCTGATCTTGATTGATGCATTGTTAGCTAGCTAGCTAGTAGGCTGGTCTCCTCTACAAAAGAAGTTTGCTTGCTGGGACGTCTACTCTACTAGCTTCGCCAACAATGCAAGCATTCTTCATCTTATCAGATCTCTCGATCGATCTTGCAACAAAAGAAATCTTCTCACAATTTCTACATCTCTACTTTTTCTGCACTGTTGCTTCTCCCGAACCTACTCCCCACAACAACTACTAAGTCAAGTCAATATAATATGTGCACCATGGATATGCCCTCTACTACATGTACTGCTGGCTCTGCCGGACCTCTTTCCTTTGACCGACTGAAGCGTGCTACCCTTGGTGGTCTCAAGTTCAGCCTGGGTCGATCCAATTCGTTTACCGCTGCCAAGAGGAACAATAGCAATGCCAGCAACAGCAGCAGCAAGAGTTTGGACCCTCCGCCACAGGCAGATGCGCTCAATCACTCGGATCACGGAGCTTCGTCTTCTTCAGGTCGTGGCTCTCGCTCTCATCAAACGCGTCGCAAAGCGCAGCAAGACGCCTTTGATGCGCTCATGAAGGACTGCGATACCTTTGATATCATTCTCCAAGATCAGACTACGCCTACACAGAAGGAACCTGCTGCTCCAGCTACTACTGCCACTAGTACTGCTACTGTCGTTCCCAGCAAAACAACTGGTGGACGTTCCCACAGAAATCGCAGAGCCCAACAAGATGCGTTCTTGAATCTCATGAAGGACTGTGATACATTTGCCGTCATTCAAGATGAAGCAGGTCGAGTCAGCAGTGGCAAAAACAAGACACCACGAGCGGCCTGAACACAGCATCAGCAACAAACAAACGAACCTTTTGATTTAATTAATAACAACAATGCATACTTACTTACATCCTCCAAATCATACAACTAGCTGGCTACCGGACGGTAGCATCCAGAAATTGCCTTTTAGAGTGCAGTGCAGCGACTTTTACTAGCTAGCTAGCTAGCTAGATGGTGGCACATTCACCTCGTTCAGTTCCGTGCAAAGCGCAACCCGAAAGCTGATTCGTGGAAACCTCGTCCTTGTTAGAAAACCAAACATGCATGATTGTATACCCACGGCAAGCAAAAAGTAGGCGCATGTGGCAGAGCACAGGACGCAAAACCACGCTTGAAAGTGCTAGCACGTAGAGTTGCGGGCAGGCCGTGCATCAGAGACTGGCAGGAAAGGCTTCATGGACCAGTTCCGCTTCCTCCTCTCAGTCTACCTTTGCAAATCAGGCAGTTTGCCAGCTTTTTGCAATTTGCAATCTGCAATCTGCGGAGGGTTACTTCTGCTGCTACCGTATGATGTGTGTGCGCGCATGAACCTGCAAGCTTCCTTCGCTTCTTCTTGTCTCTCTTGCTTGCCGTAGCCCTGAGATGGCTACCGTACCGTACCTGGCTGGAATCGAATCTAGTAGTATTCCAATGATTAATCTGTGACGACTTCAGCAGTCGATGCAACGCTAGCTTCGCTCATCCCGGCTTGCTTAGGACGGAGTAAGCAAGCAAGAAAGTGCTTTTGGTCTTGCTACTACACAAACAAATGAGCTGCAAAGTTCCGGCAATCCTCCTTTATCTTCAGACAAGCTTGATCCGAACGTTGTGCTGCTGTGTGAATGCCGCCAATGATGCATCCTGGATCTTTGGCCGCATGGCGGCTGTCGTTCACCTGTTCGCTCAAAAGTTGATGACTATGACCCCGGAGTTGAATCTCCTCTTGCAAGCTCACAGTAGGAATCATGTTATGGTGTGCCATTGATGTCCGCATGATCCAATCACTTCCTCCATCCGGTGCCTCCTGCAGTGGGCAATCACAAAAGGCTGCCTCGGGGCTTTGTTCAACAAGGAAGTGCCAACACAACAAGTCCAGGTTGATTGAAGTTTGTTCAGTTCAGAGGTGACATGTGCATCCCACTAGAGATAGATAGATGAGGGTGTATGGGATGTTCATTTTGAAGTTCCCAAAGGCCCGAGGAAGGATTCGATTCATCTGCTGCCTACCTTCACATGTTCCTGAAAGACACGTTCCACAAAACGCCAGGAACCCAAGAGTTTTCAGCCTTGCGTGAGTGATGCAGACAAGCAGACGCGACTTCCGCCAGAGACATGCATGCTCCGTGTTCCATCATGGTGGACTTGACTGGGCAAGTCCCTGATGAAGGATCCAGCTCCTGCCATGCTTCGTGCCTACCGTACCTAGTTCTGAGTTTGCTTGAATGAACGGCAGATGCAATCAGGGGCGGGAGGACTGACTGTCACTCGAGGACTCATGACACAACGTCAAGCACTGCAATCCCTACAATGGCTGGTCCCAGTACTGGAGTTGGCCCCCGAATTGGAGATCCCACAACGGCTGCCCACAACACTGCAATCCCTCCTTTGACAAAACCACCTTCCTGGCAGGAGACGCACTGCTCTGATGAAGGATCTATTCTTAACCAGGATAGCTCGCAGCCGCTCTCCGTCCAGGATTGGGACAGAGAATGACATGAGAAACAGCAACCGCAAAACCGATCCAGCCACTTGCGAAGGGCCCATAATCGTGGCTGGCTATAGAGCAAATTGCATATGGTGCCGACTAGCTCGTGGCTCTGGGCAGCTTGTCGTCCGTTAACATGCATCGATTCCAGAGTCACTGTCAGGCTCCCAGCAGGGCAATCGAATCGAATCGAATCGAATCTATATCATAGTGGCTGTACTAGATCATTTGCGCTGACTCGACTCTGCTCCCGTCGTCCTGTGAAGCTGGGTTGTGCTTTCGGGGCGTTCCTGGCTGGCCATGTCAGCGCCACAACCGTTTCATGCAAGATGGCTGGCAGTGGTCTATCTAGCTACACGTACCACAGGACACAGGACGACTGACTGTGTCACTCATGGACTTGGCACGCAAAAACATTTCGTTTTCATGGTGCGCGGAAGCTGCAACCTCTAGCTACCCAAAGCGGATCCCTTACCGTCACACACACACACACAGGAACGCAACAGCTAATTTCACCAATATCACAACTGACGCTTCTCCTTCATCGTCATTGTCCAACCAATAGTTGCGTCGTCACCATTGTTTGTACTGCAAAGCAATAGATGTCAGCAACCCAGTGGCGCTTCCTTCGGTACTGGTATCAAGGAGGCCGACGAATGAGGCTGGAGCGCTGGAGCCCAAAGCCACTGGTGAGATCTCACAGAGTGAGCCAGCATGCACTACTAGACTACAGTCGTACCGGTATGGCTGGATGCTGGTTGATTGACTTGCAAGTTCCAAGAGAAACATTCCTGGAAGGCTTCTGATTCGCTGAATCAGCCAATCAAAAGTGGCAGCAATATGTCGTAGAATAAGGTCTGCTGCCTTCATTCGCAAGTTTCTGTTTGGCTGGATAAAAGTGAACTACTCCAGTATCCATCTCCGTACAGTACCGGTGCAACCGGTACCCATAGTGGGTAGCGGGAACGATCCATTCTTGTCCAGCAAGAAGGAAGATGTCATACCGGTATATAGCTTCTAATTCCTTGTGCGACACGGAGTAATGAGTCACTGCAATGTGAGGCTTCATCGGTTCACAATCTGCGGGGAAGCCTTTGGCAAGCAACACGGTGGCAACACCAACCGTTTCGGATGCTGGAAAAACATTCATCTCTCATAAAAAGCTACACACATCAGCTCACACATACATCACACCAAAGCGCCTATACACCTTGCCTTCCACACACACACAAAAACAATCAAAGCAAAGAACCATGAGCAACGAAAGCTGGAACAGTTTCCAAAAAGAGTACGGCAAATCTGGACGAAAGACCAAGCTCCTGGGAGACCTTGGTTTGGTCCGCGCTGACTCCGGGCGCCATCTTACCACCACCGTGGTCTCGGCGGCGGCTGTCATTACACCCGATATCACTCGAAGTCTGAAGCGCGGCGGGTCCAATCCGAAACACATGTCAGGAGCCGTCTTGCAGGCCAAGAGATCAGGCTTGACGCGTTCTGGTTCCAATCCTTCATTGATGCTCAATAATGGAGGTGGTGGTGTCACCCGAGGTGTCCGCCGGCATCGATCCATGAAGGGAGCCAGATCAGGCTCCTCCAGCAACTTATTGGCAGGGCTCACACGCAGCCGGAACTCCAACAATAGTCTCTCTGGAAGTTCCAGTTCAGGATTGTCTTTCAAATAAACAAAAAGAAAGGAGTACCTAAGAGCTATCCAATCTGCCTTGGACCAAGAAGAGCCATGCTTCAGGAGCACACCAACACCCGAGCAGCACCGAGAGAGGGAACCATCACTCCCTCACACTGTAGATCTACATGAATAACTTGCATGATTACTTTAGCAAACCAGAAATCCTAGTTGCAGCTGTCCATAAATATAGATACTAGAACCAAAGCCCCAGCCGCTGGGGACTAAAGCATACCGGTAGCTAGCTCGTTCGTAGTACTCCTGGTAGTGCCGGGAGTAGGTGGGTAGCAAACGGGGGAAGGCACTCTCGTCGATGGAGGAGGATACAGAGAGAGCATCCGCACTGGTGGATCAGGCGGAGGCAAAGCTCGATCCTGCCAGGGTAGAAACCATCCATCCACCAGGACAGCAGCACATTGGGTACGGTACCCAGCTAGATACCGGTATGGTACCGGTACCGGTATCGGTTGCTACATGTGCAACCTTTTCTACGGTATGATATCGGCAACAACAGTGTCGACGACAATCTGGTCGAGCATGGCCGGTCTGCTACTATAGCAGGGCCACCTCATCAATATGGCTCGAACGTTTGTCTGTGGGGGTCGATTGGTAGATAGCCTGCAAAGGCCCACTCTAGCTAGCTGTAGCTATTCGCCCAGGAGTTGGTCTTTTTGATTCCACCCGTCCCACGATGTCGTGCAAGCGTCCACTGGCTGGTTTCTGTTTTGGGGCAGCAAGTGCACAATCGAATGCATATAGCGGCACCGTGTTCTCCCTCCATTCGCTCACTCACGTCTGTGGCCATACGGTACATGCTGGATACAGTGTTTTTCATGCCCCAAAGTCGCTCGCTCCAGACCGACCACAGCCATATCAGTCTCAGCCTGCCAGGAATCGAATCGGTCGGTAGCGCACCCTCAGCCATTCTTTATTTCCCCTGATACCATGGTACTACTGCTCGACTGCAGATGGATCTGCTTCACAAAACACTCTTCTTGCAGTGGCTTCTGAACCGACGATCGATAGGACGGGCCATAGTCTAGCTAGTGTGCTCTTTTTGGCTGCCTCTGTACTAAAGAGCCGTTGAAGCAGTGATGAATGAAACGGGGGTTTGCTATCTAGTACTGTAGGTTGGAGGAGGTCGGACGCACATCCGAGGCATCAAGTGCTACCGTTGCTTGGTGCTGGTACCGCCTGAACCACCATTGTGCCATAGCTGGGCAAAAGAAGCACGATCTGATGAACTTGGGACGTGTCAGACAGATATGGTTACAGTGGCTTTGCTTGTGATGCAACTCGGCTGCTTCAGTTCAGCTGTTTGGTGCTGAAGGGGGGCAGGGAAAGTAGTTCAAGCAACGCACCATACCGGTACCAGGCTGCCTGCCTGTATGATAGCCTGAGGAGATACCACCAGGCCAAGCTGGCAAATAATGCTACCGTATCGGTACGACTGACTGTGCATTCAATCGAAACGGCCGCCGGATAGGAAGGACAAGGAGCTATTAATACCACCATTGCGCTAGCTTACTGTATAGCCATAGATCTCTCCTTCTGAAAGTATTGAGAGCACCGCAGTACACCAGGATCTTTGTAGCCTTTTGCTAGCTAGCTAGCTAGGTTCTACCCTCCTGGTAACCACTATTGTAAAGGTACCATACGGTATTGGTAGATATCATGAATTCAAAATAATAATTATATACTACATGTAGTACTTGTATGCATCAAAAAGTAAGTTAAGTTTGTCTTATGCCGCCAAGAGAGAAGTGACCGAGCTGCGCTGTTTTCGTGGTCGTCTTCGTCGTCCATTGGCGCTCAATTCCGGTGCGGATCCTTTCAAAAACAAGGACTTGGCCGAATTGGATCTGGCCAGTTGATTGGTACTGCTGCTTCGACGGGGAGGATTAGCTGCCCCTGGCTGCATCTTGAACAGGGATGTTCCAGAGAGACTCTTGACCAACCCGGACCTTCTCCGACTATTAGTTGTAGCAGTCTTGTTGGGACGTTCCACAAAACAGGATTTGTTGCTGCCCGATACCGATGCAAGGAGCCTTGTGGCGCTTCCGCCTTTCCCGTACCGATCTTGAAAATCATGCCAATTCTCGGAGGGCTGTGCATTGCTATTATTGGAGCTGAGAAACATGGTACTAGTATGGTTGCTTATCTTATTCGACGTGACTTTATTGTGGGAGCTCTTGTGGGTTGCGTTGGGAAGAGGTCTGGTGCAGGTCCGGCAACATTAAGAGAATAAGCATGCAATAAGCAATAAGATACCAGTGGATACTCCAAGTTCTATGACCGCTATGAATTAAAGGATTCGGTCTTCTGTCTTGGACAACTTGATCGATAGTTGGGTTCATTCACTCTATGACTTAATGACAAGGCATCAATCGATGGTCACTGGTACTATTGAATGCCCCAGTAGTCACAATGAACCATGAAGATCACTGCTCTGTCACTGGTACTGAATAAAAAAAAAACTACATACAGTACATGACATGTACATGACATGTACCGGGGCCGGTACATGAATTAATTGTAGAACCACTTTTGGTCAGTCAGTAGCCAGAACAAGACCCAGTGGTGGCTTATGAGCCAGAAGCAGTAAGAGAAGAAGGGAATTAATGTTTTCTGGGTAGCTATCGAGAATGGAGAAGGGTGATTGGAGATACCAATAAGTCAATGTCTTGGATAACTCTCTTTCGTATGACACGCACTGGACTTGTCTGAGGTGTCGCGTCTTACATGACAGCAGCTTTGACTATTTATTGTTGCTGATAACCTGGCAGAGCTTCCGATCTTCCGATACTCACCATTACCTTCATCCAGGAATCAGAGTCGAGTCGTCTGTGATACCGGTACGGTAGTCACTCTTCCCGCCTGTCATTCGACTACTAGCTAGTCTAGCTAGCTACATCGTAGCGTAGCCGGAACCTCCGCAGCAGCTAGCTAGCTAGACCCGTACAGCAACCAATAGCCATGATGTGAAATCTTCCAGATGGGGGGCAAGTCGACGGGCTCTGCCGCAAAGGCGCCTTGAAAGTGAGGCATGCATGTGACAGAGCGCTTGTCTTTCCAGATGGCCGCAACAACAACAACAACTACAACTACATGTATTTCTCTTGGTTTACTGATCAAGGTTTGAATACGTTTACGCAATTCCGCGGGGCCAGTACGTGTACTCCTCTAATGGGGAGTTGACGATGATGCCTGTCAGTGCCAAGGTTGCAAATCTAATCGCCACGGAGGCTTTAGCACTTCTTCCCTCTTCCTCAAGAGAGCTCAGCTGCTCGGTTCCTGCTCGGCATTCAGAGACGCTTGTTTTACTTACTGAGCGATCAAGAGCCAAGAGGATAGAAGATATGGATGACCGTTCACGTTGCGATGATTATTATTGCAAACTGGCAAGAGTGGTTTGAGGTTTCCAAATAAATTGTCTTGGTTTTGGCCAGTCCACAAAATCTCAGCAAACTTTGTGTGATTATGAAAACCCTGGTCAACCTTGAGATGGCTTCCCCCGGAGTTCTCCATGAACCCACACCGGTGCCCGGCATTTTGACCCGCCCCAACTCTGCGAAAGCAAAGAGTCGTCGAGGAGTCCAATTGTTTTGCTTGCAGCCAAACAAGTGCATGCATCTTCCAAGACACTGTTTTCTCAGAAAGTTCGCTGCCATGGTAACGCGTCATCTCCTTCTTGTCAACTACGCCGCAACTGTATGACTTTGTTGTGGACTCGGACACGTTCCTGGCTGCTGACAAAGATAATGAAGACTTGCACATTCTGCAGTGCATACAGTATGGAAGGTCTAGACAAGGATGTAGCTAGCTGGAACTGTATGATAGTTGACGAACTTGTCAGGAGGATCCAATGCATGCATCGACCAGAGCAAAGATCAACAACCGTCAAGACCATGCCACGGTTGATGTTCGTTGTACTAGGACTACAGTAGTCCAGGAGAGGAAGAAGTTGAAAAGAAGCCATGATCCATGGTACCTGGTGCATGGGGTATACTGGAGCAGACACGTTCCTAGCTACTCTGCTACTACCCTCCTAGGATTGTCACCGACACTCGAATCAGCAACGGCAACAACAACAACCATTTTCTAGACGTGGAAACAAGCTGACAACAAGAAGGTCCCGTGGAATCAACACTAGTTGCCGCCATGAAGGACACTGCACGTGGAAAGCCTCCAATTACTGCCTCACTCTGCTCTGTTACTACTACATTGCAGCAACAATCATGCATGCATGTCAATGCCAACTCCTCAAACTGCAAAATCCTGCTAGAGCAATAACTATTTTGGTCCCGTCTACGCCACAACCAACCATCATTGAAGGCCACCCATTACTGTAGGCACCACTTTTGGATGCTATGTCATCTACCCTTGCAGATGCCATACTGTACGAAAAAGGGGAGATGTCTGATTGCAACAGCCCGTACCCCCTCCACCTAAGCTGACAGTAGTGAATATAATAACGACAACGCAGCACTTGGATTACACAGCAATCAGTTCCTAGCTAGATGATTAGTATGATGCTGAACAGTTACAAGCTAGACTGACTAGACAACCTGGAGGTTTTTCGGCAGCTTTGAGCTTTTGCCACCACCATTTACCCACTCAATCTTGAATCTTTTGCTATCATCTTAGATTCCATGCACTTGCCCTTGGTGAGCATTCTTGTTCTCAGCCCCATGCCACTACAAAGTGAGACCATATACATTCCAGATGATGGGTTATGAGAATGTAGTACCACAACCACAGCCAGAAACACACACATCAGTCACAACACTGGTTCCTACCTTGGAATCATGGGAGAAGCATCCCCTTCAGGCACTGCATTTTCTGGTCCCAGAAACTGAGGTTTGGACAGCTCTTGCCACGAAAGCTTGCATTCTGGCCTGCGATGGGTCAGCTCCAGATGGTAAAGGTTCTTTTGGGTGGATCCTCAGCGACCCCCCAAGGTACCCGCTTGACTCAGTGCAACGGTCCGGCATTTGGTTACAAACTGAACTCTTTCCGGGCCGAAGGATACGGGATGTTGTCTGGCTTTAGATTCCTCCACTTTCTGAAAGAGGGAATCCAAAGTCAAATGTGCCTCAGACTTGGTCTTCATTAGATCGACGTGACACCAATGGAAGGGTGTGCAATACACATGGGCACACTTGTTCCCGAGAAGGGATGTGACCTTGCCAAAGACCATATCGGTGTACATCTCAACATTCAGCCGGGGATACCTGAGCTGATATGCCAAGAGTTTCATTCTCCGTCCTCCACTCGTGTGGGTAAAGTCATGGACAGCTCTCTGAGTAGTGTTCCCTATCATCTTCTTGGCTGCCTCTAATCCGATGTTCCACCGCCTGGCAAGAGTCTCCGCTGATACAGCTCCCTTCCTCATAGGAGGTTTCGTCTTCGTTGCAGAAATCTGAGCTTCGAGTGCTGGGCCAAGGCTGTCGACATCAATCGCAGCAGATGACCTTGATTCGAGGATTGCCCAGACCGACTGAATCCTCCAATTTCGCCCCCTTCCACATGGCATATCCGAATCTAAAGCAACTCGGAGAGATGACTCTAAATCAGCAGACTGAGGGTCTTGTGGATTCCAAGGGGATTCGGAGGTCATGTGGACATGGATGAAGTCATCTGGGGAGTTGACCTCATGTGCAGTTGGTTTCCGGACATTGAAGTAGGAAATGACACCGTCCAGTTGTAGGGGAATTCGTAGATCTGAGATATTATCGACGAAATTCGACAGACCCTCCAACAAATCCAACCGGCAACTTCCATCCCTTTGACCCATAGGCATACTGGCTTGGCTTGAGGCTTCTTCTTCCCAGGATTCTTCTTTGTGGGCTTCTTCTTTGTGGGCTTCCTCTTTGTGGGCTTCTTCTTTGTGGGTTTCTTCTTTGTGGGTATATATGCAATGTTATTCCTTGATACTGCTATCAATATTGGTGCTATAGCTTGAACAACATCATCAACATAATGAACCACAGATTCATAGTCTGGGAAAGCAAGCAGTGTCTCCTTACTCATCACAGCCTTGATATCTTCAAAGGCTTGTTGTTGCTCTGCTTCCCAATGCCATTTGACATTTTTACTCACTAACTTAGAGAGTGGGGCTAAGAGATGACTGTGGTGTGGCCACATGTCACAGTAGAAGTTCACCATGCCAAGGAAATGTCTCAGCTGCCTAACATTTTGGGGATGTTGAAGGCCCAATATAGCTTCCACTTTCTTTGGCTGGGGTTGGATACCATTTCTTTTACCACAATCTTGTGTGAAAGTGGAAGAATCCATGTTAGATTGGACCAAGTTCAGTTCACCTAGGGATTGCAAAAAATGCTTAGAAAGAAACCTTTGACTACTAGAATTTATTCCATACTGGGCTTTGTTGAGGCGGAGAAAGGCAGGGGCAGGCATTTTCATAGTTGAGACACCATTGTCACTGGATGCAGTCAGCACTATGGAAGTAATGCATTGGTCAATTTTCCCTCCCTGCTCATTACCCCCAGGGAACATGATGGAAATGAAGCTAGCTACTAGTGGTCCCTCGTGTGGGGACCTTTCAGGATGTATCTAAAGACTATGGTCAAGCTCATTGCTGTTGTTGTTGTGCATGGTCGATGCTGCTGGGCTTCAGTCACGCGCTCATGGGATGGTGCGGAAAGTGCGTGAGGCTCCAAGGAGATCTCAGCCAGCCAAGTTATTAGTGAAAAGAAGATGTAATTTTTAAAAAGGAAACCAGGTTGATGCCAAATAGACAGTTTTACTCTACAGTACTAGCTAGTGTAGGTAGCCAGCCACCAATATGTACCAGGTACGAGTACCAGGTAAAGTACCGGTAGCAAATGACAGGAGAGATCTCAGCCAGACTACTACAGTACATGAATTACGGTAGCACAACAACACTCCCCTCAATTCTTCCACCAACCCCAATGGCATGGTGCTTGCCTGCATGAAGTTGTCATCGGCCCATCAATGCATTGACCATACCAGACTGATGTACCTGTATGTCATAAATAGTACAACTGTTAAGTGTCAAGGACTTTTTGAAAAAATGGTGTATTCATTGGCACTTGCTGGAATAGCCAACAAACCAAAAGAGAGCTACAAGTATTAATGTTACTACTAGTAATCCCCTCCATAAATTCAATGATTCCTTGTACCAGTGGCTTTATTAGTTTTAAATCTTAAATAAAAATCTAGCACTTACGGCAGGGAAAAGAAATTACATAATAATATCATCACAATACCCAATACCAGAAGCTATTGTGTTGCTGCTGCATTGCTCACTGCTCATAGCTTCGGATTGAGCATTCACAAATACCAGTACGTTGCTAAAATGTCACAAAAATGGGGACAGACACAGGAATCAAATGTCAAAACACTAGGAAATACCAAGGAGACATGAACCCCACAGGAGGATTCAACACCACTCTCCTCTATATGTGTGAATTGTCATGTGTGGGAGTTGTCGTGTAGACTCCCGTCGACTGTTGCCATTCAATGAGTCAACAGAAAGAAGGAATTTGTCTTTCGATAATTCAATGGGGCTGAAGATATAGGACTGGAGCTCTGGCATCTGGCCCTGTACTGTAGTAGCAGTCGATCTTATTTTCCGGAGCAATGAATCGATCAAGGCAGCCTTTATATTCCCGGGGCGATCGATCTTCGACAATGCTGGTGCCCTTGTTTTTCAAATTCCACCAACAATGAATGTCATAGACCGAGAAAGAATACTGTACCGTCCCGAGCTCGTAGGATTTTCATGAGGTTGGTTTTGAGTCCTGCAGCGGCAAAGACCCTTCAATGAACTTGAGAGCAGAAATGCGAGGATACTCGTACATATAATCGACTTGGATCATGAATTACAGGCCTAAGAAGGATCCAACACTTCGTTAGCTCCAGTGTGGAGTCCGATTGATAGCAGAGGCGTGACCGATCGAGCCTTCCGTCCGGTCGAGCCAATAGAAAGTAAGAGATAGATAAGGTTTTCTCTCCTCTTCTCTTTTGACGCTGCAGAAAAGCGGTGGCTTACCGTTGTTCTCCAACTTTACTGACATTGTTCGAGAAAAGAAACCCTTCCCTTCTGCACTGAAGGCAGTCGGCTTGATAGTAGAGGTGCGAGGATTCGATCAACATGGAACTTATATCGGCCGTCCAGTACCAGGTACACTGTACCGTACCACATGATTACATGATTGGCATACTCCAGCTAACGCTTCACTCCCGTGGTAGTGGTAGCTACTAGTGGTAATGCTCACATTATCCAGCCACTCGCATTATCCACTCTCTCCACGCTCAGTCAAAACAACAACAAGAGGCTACATATACATGGACAATGATGATGCACCGAATAGAGCTACCGGTATGACAACAGCTGGAGCAACAAGCACCATGGTGACGGGATGTGCCTTGCAAGCTCAGTGTGTTATTATGGCGTCCTTGTCCACAGTCCCAGCAGCAGAAAGAAAACAATAACAAGCAAAGGATGCCAAGATGCAAAAGCCACGTGCACGGCCTCCAGGGGTCACCACCACTTTTACTCTGTCTTGTGGTTGCTCTAGCAAGAAAGCATCTGTCTCTTCGGTGGTGTTTGTTGTTTGTGGGGGAGGCTGTGTGAAGGGTACCCCATGCTCTGTCGTGACAACAATCATTTGTTCCCCCTTTCACCGAATGAGACCATTACCAGGTGAAGATCGCCCCATCTCTTTTTCTTCCCATAGCCTTTTCACATCTGATTCTCTGCAAAACGTCATGGCTACTCGAATCTGTGTCAGCTTCAATAGGTGCATGAGTTAACGTGCCCATGCCAAGGCGCTCAAAAGCCTTCGTATACCTGATTGAAAAATTGGTCCTGCCACTGACTTTTCCATAGTGGAGCCCTGCCAAAAAATGTTTTAACTAGCCCCCTTTGAAACCCCCATCATTAAGTCGCGAGGAAACCTCACGGATTGAATTTAACCAACACCAAGTTGTGGTTTCTAAAGAGCAGGGTACTAGTAGACTACAAACAAGAATTGCTTCCGACACGGTTTCGCCTGTACTGTACCATTTCGACCAGAAGAGCCCACAATGCGGCCTCCAAGATCACACAAACCAACAAGATGTCTCCGGTCCCCGACCCGTTCATGTGTCATACAAACGGGTCAGGAGCTGGATCTCAGCACTGCAACAAGTACAGTATCCCTTGAGGCAACACAAGGCATCTCCTCAATTCATGCGATCAATCCTCTCCAGCCCGATTGCCCGGGCACGAGAGTGGGTCGATCTGTTGCTGGTTCTCGAGCACCGACCGATCGGAAAGCCCCTTGCATAGCCATAGCAACAGGTCATTGCATCCCATCAAGCTGAACAACAAGAAAGCAGACCATTCCATTGATTCATTCGATCCTCTGGTTGCACAGCAAACCCTGGCACCAAATCTGGTTGCGTAGATATAGCAATCAGAGATGAGAGTGTGGTACACTGAACAACAAGAAACTGCAGTAATTCGATTGTCTGTCTAGCTAGTCTCGCCTCCTTTGTTTACCCTTGCTCTTTGGTTCGTCATTCGTTGATCTTTCAGGCGACAACGGGCGTTGATCTTTTGGTTGTCCCTTCTACTCAAGACTTCGTTCGACATGGATGTTGGTTGACTCGAGATTGGATTTGATTCGATTCCACTCGATTCCACTCAACTCAACTCAATGATATCCATCTGCTCGACGTTGTTGCAGCAGCTGCGCTTGTTTCTGTTGGTCTTCCCGTACCAACATCATGTCATTGGTTTCACGTGGAGCTGAAGCAGTGCTTCCAATGAGGAGAGGTCTCGTTGTCTTCAAGTCTAGCTAGTCGTCGAATGTCCTGTTCCTTGGGTGGTGACCACTGGTGGCTCTTGCTCTCGAACTCACTACGACTCGTCACTCGTTTCATGTGTTGGCTCTGCCTTTTCAGGATTGCATCCCCCAGTCTTGTGCTTTGGTTGACTCGACTTGACTCTTCTCTTTTTCCTCGAGTTGTGCTCCAGTTTGTGGTCCAGCATCCAAGATCTCTCAAACTCTCCAAGACTTCCTCCTCTAACTAGCTACGGTAGCCTAAAGTCTCACGTCTCATGCTTTGTTTACCCTTGCTCTTTGGTTTATCCTTTGGTTGTCACCTCGGAGGTTTTGCATGGTCCAAGTCAAGTCTCGTTTCCGTTCTGGTTGCCGTCCTCTCCAAATCTCCCCTTCCTCTTGAGTGTTCCTAAAGTTTTGCTGACGATTCGATGTGGCGGTTGATTGATTCTTTTCGATTCGATTCGATTCCTTGAGCCCGACATCTTGGCTCAAGTCCTTTTTTGTGTTGCTGCTGCTGCCTCTGAGCTCCCTTCGATGGTGCTGATCCTTCCTTTTGCTTGTCCCAGCTAGCTAGCTAGACAAGCCAAAGCCAGCAAGTCCTGGATGATCACAGTGCACACTACAATATCTCTGCTCTAGCTAGACGACTCGTTTCGTTTACCATAAGTCTCTATTCAGACGCGAAAGGCAACCTTCGAAATTGGTTGAGATGGGGTTCCTCGGCCTACAGTACACTGTGAGTTTGTAGAATACAGTAGTTCTCAAGACGGTACCAAACTCCTGGTAGCGTTTGCGGATGTGTTTATTTATTTCCACCAACAAGGATCTCGTCGTCAAGTTGATCTACAGGATTGAAGCAAATCGCATCTTCCAAGAAAGTCAGAATTTAAATTCTTGGTGGTTCTACAATTTTTTGGTAGGGATTATGATTGTTTGTTTGTTGTGCACAGGATACTGGTATCCTTTGGTGGTTGGTTTTCATTCATTTGGGCAGACGTAGAAGTCACAGAAGTACCATACTTGCAAGGATATGTGGATTATCAAGTACTACTAGTAGTATGGCCTGAGAAAAGTTTCTGGCTATCTATAATAGCTAGCTAGAGATGGATAGCTAACTACCGGTACCGCAGTGGTAGGTAGGAAAAGAGAAGAAGCATCAGTCCAACTGAAGAGCTCTCCTCTCTTTTTTCTTGTTTTGTTCCTCCTTTGCTTGTGTATGTGTAAATATATATGATCTTAGGACTGCTGTTGTTCTAGCAGATCAGCCCTTTGTCTCATGGGACTTTTGGATCTTCGTTTGTCTGGCATGGGACTTCTGGACCGTCTTGGTTTCTGTGGGGCTCCATGACCATGGCTGCTTCCAGTACCACCCAGCAAACTCTGACTCTTTTGTCTACTAGTACCTACTAGAGCTCCTCGTAGTGCTAGCAAGGAACCACTGCTAGAGCGTGCTACTCCTGCCTTATTGCCCTGGACCATCAAGACTCGCGCAGATGCTGCTCGAGGCAGAACGCCTCTTTGGGGAGGCGGAGATCGAGCCATACTGCCATCGCTGTCTCTCTTAGTAGCATGATTGGAACCAGAGTCAATCAAACTGCGACAAGAAGATCCCATGGCCGACAAGGTCGATTGCATCATGGAACGACGGTCGCGATCGGGGCCATTGCCGTATTTGGAGTGAAATTCACTCCAATTCTCATTGGTGGGACCACTGAACATCATATTCATCTTGATTGTTTGTTTGTTTGTTTGCTTGCTTGGAGTGATGGAGATGAGGTTGGTTTTATGACTTTGGTAGAAACACCCGGAATGAGGAGAGCTGTTTGACATCCGCGTTGAGCAGCCAACGCAATGGATGCGTGAGGTTGGTTGGTTGCATGGAAGCTGTGTGGTGGATCTCTTCTGACGACGGTACCGACCGGTATTGAAAAGAAGCCTTATCTCCAAGACCCAGTCTATGACCACTGACGTTCTGCCCCTGTTCGGCAAGAACTTCCTTGTAACCACAAATCCCGCATGCTGAACAATGATGAGATGATGCTTCACGTGACACTCGAGTCGCCCGCAATCCTCGTCATCCCAACTTGCTGGAGATTGGTGTTCCAAGCGCCACGCTTGGATCTACGATACTTATCCGGCAAGCTAGATCGTGTGGCTAGCTAGCTAGCCAGGTACCGCTTCCCAAGGCAAAGGCCACACTTGGGACCTCATTAGGGGGTCAACGGTGACATACCGGTACCGTTGATCAACCCCCTACTTATTTACTACTACTAGGTCAAATCCTGTCTGCAAAGGAACCATGCTCCAGGTCACAACAGGAAGACCATTGTAGCGGAGTGACAGTCACAGGGACCTGCCCGCTGGTAGACTCCAATGTCACATCCTGCAACTCACCAATGGTAATGGACTCAGCTACTTGTGATTTGCTGAAAAAGGTCCTCCAGACCAATAGGTAGTCTGCCTACAATAGTAATTCATTTGCATGGATGCTTTTACTACTCAACCATTCGGATGATTCGATTCATATACTTTCCGAAGACAAACTAAAATTGGCAGTGTTTCTGGGTTCTATGCCAGCAGGAAGGATCCTTCTGGAATATCCTTTGTCACCTTGGGGGACTAAAATCCCACCAGTGAAATATTGTTGACTGCCCTGACCCTCCTCAAACACCATCCGTCTTTGGATTTTCTTTTCCAAATAGGTTTTGGAGAGATGGGGGCTCAAATCAAGGGCCTGGCCATATCCACCTGCTGTTATGCCAAGGTCATTCTTTTTTTTTTTTTTGCCCCACAAATCACAGACAAACCTCCTATCTGCCAATATGACATCATCGTGCTGCCCTCCCATAATGCTATCAAAGATTTCGAAATCATCAACTCGATGGCTGAGCCACTCCACCATTGTGTGGCGGTCTGCGTTTTCAAAGACAGTTCTGCACTGGCAGAAGTGGCCTTGTCCGTCTTGGATCTTTGCTTTCACATCAACTTTGAGCCAAGATACTTACGGCTGTAATACCAAGGTGTTTAAAGCTATATTTACAATGTTTTGACACTTTGTTATCTTATTTTAACACTTTAGGGAAATTTTTATTATGGCTGCAGGTACGTGTCGTACCGGTACATGTACCAAAGGAGGGAGATGTCCCTGATAGAAGAGAGCGCGCGTTCCGAGTTGTCACTCCTTCCTGCAAAAACTTCAAGGCTCAAAGATGCAAGGGTTCATGGCCGCAACGCTTTCTTCCATGGCAACAACGATTAAAAAGTGGCACACACGGAGCAGCAATGAGTTTCGATGCAGCAGCAGCAGCAGCAGCAGCAGAAGTTGTTGGAGTAGCAGAGACGCTGCCGGGTTCCCTTCCACGCAAGCATAAGCTGACCCCTTCCCAGTCAAGTGAAGAAGAAATGGAAGACGCATTGTCACCACCCAAGAAGCAATGTCTCTCTCGGTTTGAATGAATCTATGGTGAGTTTGAAATGTTTCACTGGGAGTGTTGGTGTGTTCAGCAGGAAGGGGCTGCAGTGATACCGGTACCAGCTGGAATCCGGCAATCCTAAGGGAGACCCCGGCCGAAAGAAATGGTCTGGCACTGGCAGTAATAAAAGGCAGTGTTTCCTTCTTTTTTCTTCTTCTTCAGTCCAGTCTTCTAAACACTTTTTCCTTTCTCCTTTCTTCTGCCCTTCCACAGGAGCCTAAAATGGCAGGTCCAAGCACAAGCACTGGAGATTGAAATATATTCATGTGTTTTTGATGGGTGAGGAAACAGCACCAGACACAGTGGTGGAGGTGGATGCCAATAGGAGTGAAAGTGGGAGGGCCCTAGCTGCTGATTCCATTGGGAGGCTAAACGGCGCCCCAGCTGTATCTCCTGGCAACGACAAAGGGGACGATCCAAGCAACATCTGCCCAGATTGCGGTAATGTCAAATGTCTTTGTGATTGCCCAGTCACTGCCACCATATCCACTGCAGCGCCCGTGACTGCTCCGCTGATTCCTGTCTCCCCTGATACTAGTAGTGCCGATTCAACCTCCAAGAATGGATATGCCACCCCAGTGTCATCCACCTCTGGTGCTACATCTTCTGCCACCTCGCTCAGCCAATGTTGGAGCTCCAGAATCCAGTGGAGCATCCAAAGACAATCCTGTCAGCTCCACACAATCTTCAAAGGATTCTAGCAAGGAAGAAGAGCGTGAAGAGGACAACAGTAAGGACTTGGCCACCGATGAAGAAGAACAAGACGAAACTCTGGATTCTTTGGTGGAAGATGCGAAGGACAGGGATGATGAGTCTGAAAAGGAAACTCTGGCAATGTCTGAGCACACGAAAGATGGCGACCAGGTTCGAACGAGCTTGTGCTGTCTTTAACAGGAAGAAAGAGAAAGGACAGAAAGGGAGACGGCCATGCCCTGAAAACCTGTATCCACTTGAATGGGAAGGAGCTCACTTGCCTAAAGTATTTCTCTCGCGAGGAGTCTCTTGAGTTGAATCTCGATGATGTCGATACTTAAAGATTGAAGCTCTTACAGAACGTTTCGTACTTCAT